CACACACACACACACACACACACACCCAGCCTGAGTTCAAACCACCGGGTCTGGGACTTAAACCATGGTCAACTACATGGGAGTCCAGCGACATAGTCCTTACACCCACTGCTGGTCTCCCATTTTGTGACTAATAAGAATGCTGCTGTGGGACCTGCAGATGGTGTAATGGTTACATTGCTGGATTCCCACATGACCAACTGTGGCTCAAATCCCGGACCCAGAGACTTGAAACTTACACCAGGGGTGTGTCTATATGTGCACACACGTCTAAAATCCCCAGAGGAGAACGAAGGAGAAGGGACTGTGGCATGGCCATCATCCCTGGGAGATGATTTCTTGGTTTCTGTCTGTCTGTCTCTCTTTCTCTCTCTGCCTCTCTGGTGAGTACACAAAAAATATCTTTAAAAAAATGCAACCCACAGATGGCATGGTAGTTAAGGTGCCGGACACTCCCACATGGCAGACTACAGTTCAAGTCCTGGACCTAGTGGCATGCTTTCGGGGGGCCAGCAGCTAGTGGGGTGGTTAGGGCACTGGACTCCCACATGGTCAACCACGGTTTGAGTCCCAGGCCTGGTGGCTTGCTTTCTCTCTTTCTCCCTCTCTCTGGTCAAATTAAAATAAATGAATAAATAAAAATAATTATAAAGCAAAAACAAAAAGTGCTACTATGAACTCTCAAGTAAAAGCTTTCACATGAAGATATTTTGTTGTCTTTTTAATCCCAGAGTAAATACCTATTAGGTCGTTGGGAAAGTCATGATCTATTTTTCTGTTTATCATATAAAAATACAGCATGAATTTCCCAACAGGTCATATGGTAATTTTATGTTTGACATTTTGAGGAATTTCTGAACTATTGGGTCACCAGAAAGGTCATGACGAATTTTGCATAGAAAAAAGTCATGACTTTTCCAATGACCCAATAGTTTCCAAAATGGCTGCACCATTTTAAGTTCCCACCAGTAATGTGTAATGGTTCCAATTTCTCCATATTCTTGCCAACTCTTTGAGTGTCCATCTTCTTTTTTTAAAGAATTATTTTATTAAACTTTATTATTATTTTCCAGTTTGATCAGAGAGAGGGAGAGAGAGAGAGAAAGTCAGTAGGTACCACACTAGAACAGTGTTCAGTCATGTGGGAGTCCAGTGCCTTAACCACCATGCCACCTGCTGGCCCTCCATCTTCTTTACTATAGCCATGCTGGAGAGAATAAATTGGCATCTCATTGTGAATTTTTTATTTTATTGATGACTAAAGATATTGAACCTTTTCATATCCTTCTTGACCATTTGTACATTTGCTGTGGAAAAGTGTCTTTTCAATGTTTTTGCCCGTTTTTAAACTGGGTTGTCATTTTATTAAGATATTCAGGACAGTGTATGTTTTGTGAATATTTTCCACATTTGTGAAATATATGTGAATATTTATTAAATATATGATTTGTGATATTTTTCCTATTCTGAGGGCTGTCTTTTCACTTTCTTGATGGTTTCTCTGAAGCACAAAAGTTTTATATTAAAAAATAATGTATTTAATTTCATTTACTATTATTATTATTATTTTAATTTGCTATAGGGCACATGCACTCACCAGAAACAGAGAGAGAGGTAAAGTTAGAAAACAAACTGCAAAAAAAAAAAAAAAAAAAAAAAATTAAAAAAAAAAAAAAAAAAAAAAAAACATTTTAAAGAGACAAAAATAATAAAAAAAATTAAGAGACAAAAAATAAAAAAGAAACCAAAAAAAAAAAAGGCAAGCAAGAAAGCAAGCAAGCAAGCTGCTAGGTCCAGGACTTGAAACAGAGTTGTCCACGTGGGAGTCCAGCATCTTAACCACCATGCCACGTGAACGCCCAAGTTTTACATTTTGATGTTGTCCAATTTAACTGTTTTATTCTTTTGTTGCCTGTGCTTTGAGTGTCATATCTAAAAACCTATTGCTTAATCCAAGGTCACAAAGATTTGGACTTTTCATGTAACAGATTTACTTTTAGCCCTTATACTTAAATCTTTGATCTCATTAAGTTAATTTTTATAATACAGTACGAGGTAGGAGTTCAATTTCAATTCTTTTACATGTGGAAATCCAAGTGTACCAGTACCATCTTTTTTTTTTTTTTTCTTTACGCTGCAATCCCTTCTCCTCCATTCTCCTCTCGGGATCTTGGGCACGCACGCACACATGCCCGGCGTGAATTTTAAGCCACCGGGTCCGGGACACAAACCGCGGTTGACTACGTGGGAGTCCAGCGACATAGCCATTACGCTAACTGCTGGTTCCCCACCAGTACCATCTTTTGAAGACTGTTCTTCCTTCATTGCAGTCTTGGCACCTTTATTGCAATCGTGTTTCTTTTAGAACTAATTCTCAAGGTTACTTAATAACTGACTCAGTCAACCATACAACAAAAAAGCAAGTGAATGTGACAAGAATGTATGCATTTGAAATGCCCAACTAACCAGCAAGTACTTTCACTTTATATGTACTTAGATTGTTCTGGCAGGTACACTGGATAAATTCTGTGTTGATTCTAGTGATGATTTTATGAGTGTGGACATATAACAAACGTATCACATTGTATACTTTAAACATGTGCAGTTTATTATGTGTCAATTATACCTCAATAAAGTCCTTAAAAAAGAGAAACTGGGATCAGCAGATGGTGTAATGACTACTTCATTGGATGCTCACATAGTCGAGCTTGGTTCAAATCCTGGACCTGGTAGTTTAAAATTCACACAACAGGACCAGCGGATGGCATAATGGTTATGTCACTGGACTCCCACATAGTCGACCATGACTGGAGTCCCAGGCCTGGCAGGTTAAAACTCATGCTACGCACATATGTGTGTATGCCCAAAATCCCAAGAGGAGAATGGAGAAGGAATTGCGACATGGCCATCCCCCAGGAGGATGATTTCTTACTTTCTGTCTCTCTGTCTCTGTCTCTCCAATGAACACGTGTCCTATAGCAAAAATCTCTCTCTAAAAAAAAAAAAAAAAAAACCAACAAAAAACAAACCTCACACTGGGTGTGTGCGCTCAAAAGTCCTGATAGGAAAGTGGAGAAAAAGGGATTATGGCATGACCATTCCCCTGGGGGATGATTTTTCACTTTCTGTCTCTGTCTCTCCAATAGACACACATGCCCTATAGTAAAAATCTCTTTAAAAAAAAACAAAAAAACTCATGCTAGTTGTGTGTGTGTGTGTGTGTGTGTGTTTGTGTGCGCACATGCAACCAAAAATCCTGACAGGAGACTGGAGAAGGGATTACAATGTGACCATCCCCCTGGGGGATGATTTCTCACTTTCTGTCTCTGTTTCTCCAGTAAGTGCACACGCCTTATAGTAAAAATCTCTTAAAACAAACAAACAACAACAACAACAACACAAAAAACAACTCACACTGGCATATATGCATGCATACCCCCAAATCCTGAAAGAATGGAGATAGGATTGTGATGTGGCCATCCCCCTGGGGGGGATTTCTCACTCTCTCTCTTTCTCTCTCTGTTTCACCAATGAGTACAGGTACCCTATAGCAAAAAAATCTCTTTAAAAATAAGAGATCAACTAAGGCCAATGATGCTTTATCTCTCTGTTTCACCAGTGAGTACAGGTACCCTATAGCAAAAAAAATCTCTCTAAAAATAAGAGATCAACTAAGGCCAATGATGTAAATGAAATGTTTCTTTTTGAAATTACGTTTCAGGATCAATTTCTATTATTGGGCCTAATAATATGTTACCAATAGGTAACTTAGAAAAACTTGTATTTATACATTTCTCTTAACTGACCTCATTCCAAAATGCAAGCAAGCCATTTAAATTTAGAATTTGCAAGGACTGGGCCCAACTCATTACTATGGAGTAAGCATTAACAAGGGCTGGAAGAATGTTTTCCTTCTTCCTTCCTTCCTTCCTTCCTTTCTTTCTTTCTCAAGGTTTCTGCCATTGGGTACATGCACTCACTGGAGACAGAGAAGAAAAGTGAGAAATAGACACCCCCCCCCAGGGGGATGGCATTACAATCCTTTCTCCTTCATCCTCCTCTTGGGATTTTGGGCATGACACACATGCACCCGATGCACCTGGCATGATTTTCAAAACACAGTTGGCCATGTGAGAATCCAGCACCTTAACAACTATGCCACCTGCTGGCATCCCAATTTTCATTCTTAAAACATTTTCTTTCTCTTTGTTTGATTGCAAGAGGACAGAGAATTTTACCAGAGATAAAATGAGAGAGAGACAGATATTACTCTGCAATTACTTCTCCATTTCTCTAGCCTATCAAGATTTAAGGCACACATGCCAGAATCTTTTTCAAGTCTCTGGAGTCTGGATTTGAACTGCAGTTTGCCAAGTGGGATCCAGCTCCATTAACCAGTACACTATGGAGCCAGTCCAAGGAAAGACATGTTTGAGTCCTCTTTCAACGAGGATTTAGCAACTGACTTTTCCCTTTCTATATAGAATTTAGTCCCTACTACTTGCACCAACCTACATTTTGAGACTTCTGTTTACCTCCATATCCTTAGCATCAAGAACGCTGCTTGAAAAACATGCTTGGTGCTTGAAAAACATACTGGGTGTTTGTGTGTGCATGCCCAAAAATCCTGAGAGGAGAATGGAGAAGGAACTGCAGAATAGCCATTTCCCTAAGGGATGTTTTCTCAGTTTCTCTCTCCTCTCTGCCCCCCAACAAATGCAAGCACCCTGTAGCAAAAAGTAAAAAAAAAAAAAAAATCTTAAAAAAGATGGGGCCAGCAGGTGGCATGGTAGTTAAGACACTGGATTCCTATATAGCTGATCATGGTTTGAGTCCCAGACCGGATGGCTTGCTTTCTCACTTTCCTTCTGTCTCTTTCTCTATCTCTCTCTGGTGAGGGCATATGCCCTGTAACAATTTAAAATAATAATAATAATAAATTAAAGTTTTTAAAAATGCTCAACCTGTAGTGTGAAAATGAAAAAGCACAGCACTGACTATAATTACTAATTTAAAAAAATTTTTTAAAGATAGTCTGTTGTTCTCTTGCCTCAGCTTCCCAAGTAACTAAGACTACAAGCAGGTGCCACTGCATCCAGCTTTTTAGGAAGGCCTGGGAATGGAACCCAGGTCTTCCAGGTGGCCTCAACATGAAGTAGCAGGGTCTTATCACTACAGTTCAATTTATTTATTTTTTTAAAGAATGGTTTTTAAAACTACTTATTTAAATTTGACTAGAGAGGGACAGAGTGAGAGCGTGAGAAAGTGAGATAAGCCACCAGATCGGGACTCAAACCACAGTCAGCCATGGGTGAGGCCAGCGCCCTTAAACCACCACGCCACCTGCTGGTCCCTGCTCAATTTTTTTTTTTAATCTTCTCTGTATCATTCCAATTTTAGTATATGTGCTGCTGAAGCGAGCACTGCTCAATTTATTTTAACAAATTAAATTTTTTAACAATTATCTGCTAGGATTCATACTGCATGAAGGTAGGATGTTTTGCTTGTTCTGTTGACTGGACAGCACCTGGCATGTGAAAAGTGCTTATTAACATTTGTTGAATGCTTTAGTGAAGCTAAATACACTTATCTATGAAAATACACCTGAAGGAGTTGTGCAAACATACGTTAAAAACGGTATTCAAGAGATGAACTGGTGTTGCCCCACTCTCCCTTTATTAGTTCTCCCTAGAGTTAGGATGAACACTTTCTCAGTGGAAAGCTTGGCCCCTTTCTCTCTGGGCTGCAACTACGTAGCCTATACTGGAGCAGGGCTGTGGCCAAGCGTCCATTCCAAGAGCTTTTTATACGGTGTGTGGGTCCAACCCAGGGGCTCCTTAAATACCTGACACCTGGGTTCTCCCCAGAGCTTGGTGTGGACCTCCTGCGGGATGCCTGCTCTGCAGGGCCCCGGGTCCTCTCAGAAGTCACTCAGATCTCCTAGGCCCTCTGGGGTGGGGGTGTCGCATGTCACCCCAACCCGACTTCGGTACCCTAGAGGTCACTTGCTCCCACCTGGCCCGAACTTCCCAGAGAGATTCTGCCCTCTCGGTCCTCCGGGAAGGGGGTGTCTGCTCCTCGGTCCGCTCCGGAGAGGCAATCGACCCCAAGAGGGAGGTCCTCCCCTCCCGAAGCCGCCTCGGCCAAGCCCTCCGGCAGGGCCATTCATCCA